GTAGCACGCCCCCCCCCCCCCCCCCCCCCGAAAAATGACTGGGGGCCCGCCAACCCCCTTTGGCGACCGGACCAGGGGTGATTCCACTTGTTGTGGATCTCACATAATACCACATACATTAGAACACAGGCCATTGCATAACAGATTGAGAAAAAAATATTTAAAATAAAGAGTATTTTCTGAGCCAATTTTTATTGGTGCTGTATTTATTTTTATGGTCATACTGTTTTTTAATACAGCAAATAAAAACTAATAGTTATTCTTTTTTACATAGCTGTTTCTGCTGTCTGATTGAGTGTGAACTAGTAATTATATCACATATTAAACTACTAGATCGGGGGTGGCCACCCAGTGAGACACTAAGAGTCACATTTTTTACTGTGTTACCGCAAAGAGCCACATCATACACATGGGCGCACATGAACATCATCCCTTCCTCTCTCTCTCACACACACACACACACACACACACACACACACACCTCTGCTCAGCCAGATTTATTGTAAATGTCACACACCAAGATGATGACAGAAATTGACTCCTGCAGTACTAAGACCACAGGCCAGTCATTTTCAACAATGAACATCGTGTGTCTCACACACACAAACTCTCAGTTCAACAAACAAAAATAAGTAATTAAATAATAATTTATAATAGCGTTTTTCTTTTACTATGCATGTTGCTTAGTGGGACTTTTCATTACTTTCCTTGAACGATCCTCTTCAATTCTGGCTTGTATTCCGTTGTTGCCACTTGAAGCAATTCTTTCACATGGGTGTCAGTCAGAACAGATCGATGCTTTGATTTCACGTGTTTCAGGGTAGAAAACAGACGCGCAGATGTATGTTTACCCAAACATTGACCGTATCTTAAGCGCAGCCTGTTTGACATTGGGGTATTTTTTTAACAGAACTCAATGGTCCCATCCCTTAAAGCTTTAGCCACAAGTTTCTCCCTGTGGATGATGCAGTGGAAATTCTAAAACTCGGGAAATGTTTGGTCAGCTTTGCACAGCCCCACAAACCCGTTCACAGATCCGATCATGGCGGTCCATCCGTGGCTATTGCAGTTAGTTTGCTTTCGTAGATGCAGCCATCATTGTTTCTTTCACATCGGAGCCACGGGTTCCGTCTTTTAATGGAACAATATCAAGGAGTTCTTTGATGACACAATCGTTTGACACAGACTGGAAATATTTCTACCTGAGGCTTGTCTTGTATGTTACAACTCTCACCAAATGTGACGCTAAAGTACTCACACGCTTGAAGGTCAGAGTGCAACTGATTCAATAGCCGTGTTAATGTCCGATATTCTGTGTTCAACAGTGTGGCGGGATAGTTGGGCGTCTGATACCATTTGTTTTAGTTTGTCGTTTTCAGGAGACAAGATCTTAACGTCACTGAAGCATTCTACAAACTTCCATTCATTGTTTGGCTTTTTAGCCCGTGCAATGTTCCAAGCCAGTTGATACGATGCAAGCATTACGGTTTCTCTAAGTGCTTCTCAAATTGTTGGAAAAACTATCCGCTTTTCTGCCTGACTTTTCAAAGTGACCAACTTGTGCTTGCGAAGTTCAGTCCCTTTTGGAAATTCATGGTCGATGTTAGCATCGAGTGAGCTGAAATGGCGCTGAAGATTTGAAATGCCCTAATGACGCCTGACATACAGTACAAGGCAGAATGGCTGTCACGGCTACTGGTACCGGTGCACGACGGGACCCAAAAGCACGACTCAGACCAAGATGGGATGAACTAGTAGGTTTTAATCAATGGGGCAGACAAGGTCAAAACTGGGAGATCTGTCAGAGGGCAAACAAGTCTGAGAGGGGCAGGCAGGGAATCCGTAGACGGGAACAGGCAGAGGTCAGAACCAGGGTGGCAATCAGGAAGGCGAACAAATCCAAAAAGGAGCAGGCAGAGAATCTGGGGTCGAAAGGCAGGCAGGGTCAAAACAGAGGTAACTTGGGAAACGCTGGAAAACTCGACAAAACACACGAAACAATCTGGCAGGGAACAAACGAATGTGACGGGCTTAAATAGTGAGTGGCTGATGAGGGGATGTGCTTCAGGTGAGGGCAAGGAGAACCAGGTGAGGGTAATGAGCTGATGATGTGGGAGGATCTGAAATGACAGGAGAGTTAGAAAACATGCAGTGAAGATTAAATTAAACATGCGATTGTGGCAGTATGCAGTGATTGGTCTTAATAACTTTCAGCTGGGTCTGGATCACAGCCAATCGCCGCATGACAATACGGCATACAAAAAGGCGGCTTCAGAGCACCTGTCTGTGTTTTCACTTGCCAGAGGCTGGGGTTACGACACCTCCTGGCGTCTTTCATGCTGCGCCGTGTGGTGACAAAAGCTCACTGATGGCTGCGTACTAATCTCCACCTGATGCACTCAATGTCCACGCTGGTAATTCTCGTGGTAGCGTCGATCCCTCCGACCCACGTTGATTGTCTGAAGCGTCCTGACCGGGCAAGGATCATTGAGCATCAGCTCTACACCCGCTAACCTGCCAGAGGCCACTGCTGTTTTGCCTTTTGGCTAAATTGCTTTACCTTGGTTAAACTAACCCTGTTCGGGTTTGCTTTGCTTTTCCTTGTCTTGGTTAAATTAACCCTGCTTTGCTTTGCTTTGCGTTACATGTGGCTAGGTTGCCTTGCTTTGTTTTGCCTTTAGCTAAAATAACCCTGTTTGGGTCTGCCTTGCTTTTAACTGTGTCTTTCCTATTTGGGTTTGCTTTGTTTTGGCCTCCTAACTGGGTTAAGAAGTATTTTAACTGCGTACGAGAGACAGGCTGTACTTTTATTTATGTTTGTCAATTTGTTATTTTCCTTATATTGTTAAACTTTGGTTAAACAGTTTGTCAGTGTTTTATTATAGTTTTTGGTTAAATTAATTTTCTTTTCTTTTTTGGTTTAGTGTTTTTATTTTTTTTTTAAACCTGTTGCTCTCATCCCCCCCTTCAGGTGCTGCGTCGGCGGTGGTGGATTGGTGTCCCAGGTGGTGGTGTCCTCTTATGTTATGTTTTTTGCGTGTTTGAGTTTGCTTCACTCTTGTTTCACATGTTTGGACAGTCCATCGTAAGTCTCAGACCTGATTGGTTCCCCCGTTGCTTGTCCCAGAGTGAAGAGGTTTTTTAATGTTTTTAACTGTAATAAAATTACATTGTACTGTAAATTGTCTCTGCATAATTTGCAACGAACCTGAGTGCCTCCCCTTAGTTTTGTTTGGGTGACGATTTTGATCAATTCTCTGGGTGAAATTTCTAGAGTGGTGTAGTCTGGCAACATTATAATTAAACTGCCCTCATCTTAAATCACGCCTCGTGTCGCTACAGTGAGGATGAAAATAAACTATTATGTGGTCTATTGTGTGACAATAGCTTGCCATTACGTTCAACAAAAAAATAAACTCTCCCACTAAACGTCCTGTGTTCGTCTTCATATTCTCGTTGCTGTGCATTTGTTCCCTGCCATTTTGAGTGAACTGCACACAAATTGTTTACTCAAATGATCCCCCCCCAACTGGTAAACCTTGCGGTATTTTCATCTCACGCACATGCGCGTTTGACAAAAATACCGTATTGAAGCGAAGCGAACACTCCTATTACTAAAAACACAAAGACAAACTTTGATATGAACGTAAGAGCTGCCTGAAACCAAAGAGCCGCATGCAGCTCAGGAGCCGCGGGTTGGCCAGGTCTGTACTAGATGGACACAATTAGACCCAAAACACCAGTAAGGCCATTTTGGATCAGCAAATACTAAAACCACCGACTTAACCAAACAATAAGGTATCCAGCATAAAATGAGTTTCCATGATTCTATTTTGTTTGTCCGTTTGCTGCTTTTGTTACTCATACCTCTCAGGGGGAACCGCCTATGGTATAAATTACAAGGTTAATGTCATATTCTCCAACCCTGGAGAGGGACAACCCGTCCCGGCCAGCTAATAAACTCACTCTCCCCCATGTTGGCTCTTCCATTAGCGGGCCTCGGGTGGGTAAGTGGTGGAAGTAATCTTCACACACTCGATGCTCTCGCTTCGTTTCTGTCTCCTGTTCACTGAGCGATGAAATCCAATCAGCATTTCCCACTATATAAATGTGTAGATGCAAATGATATGTTGACATCTGAACGTGTCACACATAACAATGAATTTCATTGTGGATAACATTAATTAAAAAGAAGCATAAAACTTGTTTTCTCCTACATATAAAACATTATGCCTACTATTCCCATATATATGTATACGTATATAAAATCAAATTGATAACCAAATGCTTACTGTACATGTCTTATAGTATTCTCAGGATGGAGCCCAAGAAACAAGAATGTTAGCTATGATTATTGATTTTCATTGAAGGCATTATGTGCAGTATATAGACAGCGCTTATAGTTGGCCATGTCTCTGCTGCATGCTACTTTTGAATATGACAACCAGAGACAGACTGGAACTAGATACAAATGAAGAATCTAATGGAATGTCTCTACAGTATTTGACTGAAGAAAAAAAGGATAATTAATAACAAACTGTGGGGCAGCAATATGCCAATGCCAGGAAAAAGACCACTTTCGGGTTAAGCCCCATGCTAACTTCAATAGTGTTAAAATAATGTACCATATGCAAGAAGACTTTATCTTATAAAATCTTATAAATCTCATTATCACATCATTGTTCTTGGGAATTTTCCAGACTTTTCCAGATTTTATTGCCCAATGCTTACCCTAACTTTAAACCAGGTCCAAGCCCAAATAGGCGTTTGACTTGAAGACCGGCAACAATGTCCTTTCTTCCCAAAGATGTCCCCACTCTGTGGGTCTAAAGCTCTTAATTGGTCCTAACAAAGATGACCGACCTCGCAATGGTTTTAACAAATATAGTGAAAACTACCCATGGAACATTATTTTAACCAAGATAATCCTGTTGTTTTAATTAAGATATAATTACACAGAAGATTTCCCCTCCACCAAATAACAATATTGATACTTCCACTTCTGTGCAGTTTGCTTTATTGATCTACAGAAAAGAAAAACATGTCGACAATCACAAATGTGTGTTCGCCCAAAAAGAAAAAGCCCCAGATTGACTGATCAAAGCGCACAGCTGTGATGTCCGACCCTGAAAACCTCCCAGCCACGTGGGGGGTCCGTCTGCTCTTAAAACACCTCATGGAGACCTCTGTGCTTTGTGTGGGCTTCATTAGACTCAAAGACACTCACCAACACCCGCACTCACACATCATATTCCGCTGCAGGCTGCACACATGGATGCAGATGTGTTGGTTTAAGAGCACTACATTTGATATGCAGCAGTGCTTCATAAGCTCAGCACGTATTCTAAACATCATTGTTGCAATCAATCACATTAATGTGACAGGGAGGAGAAAAGAATGTGTACCGGTAATGCCAATTCATATTCAATTAATTGTGCAGCCCGTTAAGTAAATTTAAGGATTCAAAGCTTTTTTTCTACTTGATAAAGAGTATCTGTAGTAAATGAACCTTTTGTGGATTTGGAAGCCTCTATGCGTGTTAGATGGTTGCTAACAGGTAACCCTTCAAGTGCATGTTGTAAATCTCTTACGTAGTTCATTCTGTACATGACATATTCTGTTCTTTCTGGTAAAGAGATTCTCTTTTGCACTTGCCCTGAGGTTATTTTCTTCTTTCTCGCCCGTTGAAGTTTTTCCTGTGCCGACGAGAGGGTACGTGACAGAGGATTTCGGAAGCCTTCTGAGGCCAATTTTGGGCTACATAATATAAATTGAATTGGCCAAATTCTATGAAATGGTGTCCATTTTGCTGAAAAGAAAACGTGTTTCTGTATCATGTAGTATCATGGATGTTTGTTTGCATTAGATTAGATTATTTTCTGCAATAATCAGAAAGCCTATGGAAAAAATAACATTGGCTTTTATGGAGGGAACCGGTGTGATGCTAACTTCCAGTAATTCACCCCTGCAGCACCCTATATCATAGATTCAGTCTGTATAACTTAGCTGACATTTACCTCTGTCCAAAATAATGTTTGTGTTGGTTATATGCTGCTTTTCGGGCTTTCTGAAAACTACATTTTTCAGATTGGAGAATGAAATGATAATGTTAAGTGGCAAAGATAAAAACATGTATTCAATATTCAAAAAGGCATGACAAAATGAGATGACTTACAGGAAACAACCAACAAAGACAAAAATAAAGCATCCAAGTGTTTTATTGCCACCAGAACCAAAATGTCATTGCGTTGTATGCATGTCATTGTGATTTCTGTTTGTCCCACTGTTCTGGTGTGAGGGTCTTTTGTTCAAAAGCGTGGATCTCTTTCAGCTCCTCTACTAGGCACGTATTCACCATCCTGTTAGGACACAATACACAGGTTCAGGGGAGCAGTACAGGTCCAGTAGTCACAGGAGGGCTGCACCTCCATGCCCACAATGTGCATTTACTTGGCATTATTAATCAATGGCAAGCTGGCGTGTGTGTCCTTCTGATATTTATTGTTTTGATTATTTTACAAACTGAAGTTAAAATCATAAGCAATCTATATCTTCACTGTACCTTTACATTCGTTGTGAAGACCTTTACTAACTATTGATGTACTGTGATAACATTGTGGTATATTTGTTTGTGTAACCTAGCTTAGCTTGTCATTTAGTGTGATCTTAGTTGAAAATATCTACGCAAAGAAAACAGGAATCCTTACAGAGGTTTTTGTATTTTTGACTAATTTGATTTAATAGTGAAGTTCGTACATTTGAGTTTTTTGCAAAGAAACTTGTGGCAGAGTTTTAATAATACATTCACATAAAACAATAAGCAAATGCTAGATCTATGTTCAAGTGCTTGGGATTTAGTATTTACTGATATAAATTGTTTTTTTGTTAATCATGTAATTTTACTACTATAGTGACTTCCTAGAGCATTTTAGCAACATTTGTTTAATAAATCAAAGAAAGCACAGCCTGGCCACTGGATACATCTTAAGCTTGGGTTAATACATTCTACTATTTTAGTTCTTACTAAATATAACTACGTTCTCATACCAAAGATGTGAGAACAAGCATGTCGTATATGGAAGTGTGTGTGATACCTGTGCCTCTGTAACAGCGGCTTTCCCTCAAACTGAGACGACACCACCAGGACTTTGTAGCTGGCAGCACATCTGTTGGGTGATGTATCCTCCACATCCTGCAGTAGACAAGATACAAGAATGGACGATGTTCTGGTCTGAATGGCAGTTGACTCCTTTCTAAACTATAGCTGCTTATCGCTGGTCAGGGTGAGTGTTTTGGAGGTATTTATAAATAATATCCAGGGTTGCAGCAATCAGTATTTTCATTAAGGAAAAAAGGAGGGGACTTTTGGGGTTAACATGATTTTTCATTTGATTGGTAAATGGGGAAAAGCTAATGTTTTGCCTTCTTCTTCGTATTAGCCGATGGGCCCAGCTAAAACAAACTCCATTAAAAAATCACGTTTAATTTAGTGGCACGTAATTTGTTGGCCATAATATTTAAGCATTGAATAAACTGTGTGACATTGACATCAAATATCAGCCTTAACCCAATGAAGGGTTGACGAGTTAGACGTGCTTCTATTCACCACATTAACGTTGAGCCAGGACAACCCAAGAAATCAATACAACTAATGAGCAGAAACCTACCACATGTACAGCCGCAAGCTCCTTAATAAGTTTATCCCGGATGTGATCTGCTGTAATAGCCATGTCTGCACAGACAAAATAATAATCTGTATGGTTAGTAAGATCACCAGCAGTGGAGCGAAATGTGTATACAGATCAGGAAGGAAGAGACATAGATTGTAGACACGCTGACACCGGAAGTATTACAATATTGTTCAGGTTTAAGATCTCTCTATTAATACATCTGGTTGTAAAATAGAAGTGCATCATTACCCAGCTTGTCTATTATACGATGTTCTCGCTAGTTTTAGTCACCGTGTGCGAAGGCTAACAGTGACTTCACAACCGACCAAGCAGCGTGCACGCGTGTGTGACGACGACCAATCAGTAGCCAAATGTACACGTTATGGGCGGGACACATTGTTTGAAGTAGCAAATCACAAAACAAGGGGTCCTTTAAAAAATAACCAATAAATTGTAATACTGTTTCATATAAACAAATATATATTTCGAAGTAAGGCACTTTGAAATTCAGTACTACCGTTTATTTATTGTAATGATATAAGGGCTTTATATGCCTCACAGCGATTCTCTATCAAACATATTTTATCAGGCAGCATTACAGGCTACTAAGATACGCAGTGTTTACATGCTAACTCTTAGCATTTCACTTTCCTTGGTTGAAAGTAAGCTATGCCTAACTACGTATGGACGTGTGTGAAGCATTTGGGAAAACGTGCAATTATTGTTGACGTAAAACTGCCGGCATTGACTAAATATCCGAGTGTTTTATAATATCTGTTTCTATTTCTCTTGTTTTTGGTTCATGGGTTCACTAGCTTGGGTGCACATAAGTCCGCTAACGTTACTTTCATGGATGTTCGAACGCTAAAGCAGCGTTCGCTTAATAATACCGAGCTTAGTTCCTTCCGCAATGGTTGTCGAGATAGACAACTTCTTCGGTGTATACATGCTGTACTGCACAAATCTCAAATTCAAAGGACGTATTTACATCGGCTTCACGGTGAATCCTGAGCGCAGGATCGGACAGCACAACGCCGGGCGGCACCGAGGGGGAGCCAAGAGGACCAGTGGAAGAGGACCGTGGTATGGCCGAAGGTTACTGCTTTGTATTATACGATGAGCACCAATCACACCATTAGTTATATATTCTGCGCATTTTCCTTGTCTTTTCAGGGAGATGGTCCTCATAATACATGGCTTTGCCTCAGATATTGCTGCCCTTCGTGTAAGTATTCTTGTCATGTGACTACAATATTTTCAACCAAAGTTAACAACATTAAATCTGATTTCATCCCATTCAAAACGTTGAGAGTCAGAAGTATTTACGTGAAATGTCTCTTTTTGTGAGGGCAAACAACTCTGAAAAATAGAAGAAACCTTAGGGAGAATGGCGGAGGAGGGATCCGTCTCCCGGGATGGACAGAATCCAAGTTTCCCCTACCATTGTATACGGGGGTAAACCTAAGGGAAACAAACACTGGTACAGAATGAACAGCATAAAATATGTACAATACATTCATTGCATATGACAGAAATTAATGTTACTAATAACAATGATAGTATCAGTGGATGTCAGGCAGGACCACTGCAGGAACAACCACAGAACCCCCATCCACAGAAACCTGTGAGGAGGGAAAGCACAAAGACTCCAGGGAAGAAGCAAAGTCTGTAACGTTGGTTTATGATGACAGTAATAGTAATGTGACTAATAATAATAATAATGTTACCAGCAGCAGCTGTCAGCAGGGCCATGGCAGGAGACAGGACCAGGGTCCAGCTATAACCAGGATCCATGAAAACCTTTGAGAAAAAGTACAAAAACTGGAAGAAGCTGAATTAGTGATGTGCATTAATGAGATTTGAATTAATACAGAAGGAGAGAGAGAAGAGGAGAGAGGAGCCTAGTGTGAAGTGCAGGCCTATAGCAGCCTATCTAAGGGCTGGTCCATGTTAATCTAAGCCAGCCCTAACTATAAGTGTTATCAAAGCGGAAAGTCTTAAGCTCTGTCCTAAATCTTGTCCTACTTTCTAAGACTCTATGAACCTCAAGTAACCCACCATTTATGGAGCGTAGCTCCCCAGTAGGGCAATACGGTGTTATGAGCTCCTTAAGATAAGACGGTTCCTGACCCGCAACTGCCTTGTAGGTGAGGAGAAGTACCTTATATTCTATTCTTGATTTAACAGGGAGCCAGTGCAGAGAAGCATTCTGAATCATCTGGAAAGGCTTAAGATACTTAGCGTAGCCTGATAATAAAGATACACAGTAATCTGGTATAGAAGTAACAAATACTGAACTAATTTCTCTGCATCACTTTGAGACAAGACGTTCCTGATATTTTCTGTATATTACATAGGTGAAAAAGGCGGTCCTTTTACATTTTTTCTCCCCTAAGACTTAAAGGTCACATCGTTGTCATAAAGAACTCCAAGATTCTTTATAGTGCTTCTGTGAGAGCAATGTCATCCAGAGAAACTGTATCACCAGGCCACTGACTTAGAAGGCGCTTTGGGTTTATTATAAAAAACTGTTTGATGAAACAACATTCATAATTTCAGTTTCAATGGATTTCAATGTAATCCGTAATTTTGATGTTAGATTTGATTTGAATAGAAAAAACCTGCTCTGATCTGCATATTTCTAACTCCCATCATTATGTTTATCAGTTTGAGTGGGCGTGGCAGCACCCTCACTCCTCCAGGCGTCTCTCCCTCGTCTCCCGGCGCTCCAGGAAAGAGTCGAGCTTGCAGTTCCACTGGCGTGTGGTGTCCAACATGCTGCGGGTGGCGCCTTGGAACCGACTTCCGCTAACGGCACGCTGGCTCAAACAGGAGTACAGGATGGACTTTGAGCCCGGCCTGCAGCCTCCACTGCACATCCCCATCGCTTATGGGAGTGTGAGAGCCAAGAAGAAGCTGCCGTCTGCAGGACAGGAAGCGGAAGAGGAGGAGACATCCAGGTGTTTTCTCTGTAAAGAGCTGGTCAAGGTAGAGTCTTCTATTTATTCAAAAACTTGAAGATACCCTTTTTTATTACAGAAATAGTTCAATAATGTCTTGGGAAAAATCTTCAACTTGACTTGTACATCAACCAAGCATAATGTAAAGATACAGTGAATAGGTTATGCTTCCGGTCCTTATGACAAGCTTGGCCAACGACATAGTAAATACTAGCGTGTAATCAAGGTGATGTTTACAAAGGTAACAAATCGTATCTTAGCTCGGTGATGTGATAAAATCACATTGCTGACCAAAAAACAAAAAAAATAACAGCAGGTCAAATAGAGCAAAATACATCATCAAAGCTACTTATGTATAACTCAATTATACAGTTGCCTTTGGCTCACACATAAAATCTATTGCACTCCACAAATCTTTTAGCTGGAACAACCACAACAGTGACCTGATGGTTTGTATATATTTTTACATCTCTCATTTTCCTTAGGTGTCAGAAAAGCTGAGCTGTTTCCACCCGTCCTGTGGAATGAGCGGTCATGTGCTCTGCCTTGCGAAACATTTCCTGAAGTTGGAGCCGTCACACCTCCTGCCAGTGGAGGGTGAATGTCCGGCCTGTCGTCGCTCTTTGCTGTGGGGGAGTCTCATCCGGAACAAGCACTGCTGTTTCGGAGACCTGGAGGAGATTACACCGTCTGCATCCCAGGTTCTAGATATTACACACATAGCTCTGTTTGATGAGTATATTAGGTATCTGAATGTGACTCTACAGCTATACTTATGTATTACCAGTGAATGTAGTTTGTGCTTTACTAATGGGTTGTGTGATCTCCCACAGAGCCACTGGGCCGATGAGCTGCAAAAATGAGAGGAGCCTGTAAACCTTTTATTTCCTTGTTGATGCATCGAGGAACCGTCATAGATGATGTGTAATGAATTTTCCCATTGAGCAGGAATGTACAGTGACTAAAAGCTTCCAGGCGAAGCGTTAGCAGGTGCAACATCTCTTCCATTTTTATCACTCTGTTCACAAATTCAAATCAAATCATGTATCATGTTTATTTTTAGAATATTCCATGCTTTGGGGGAAAACACTCGTAATGTGTGTTTTACAAATAAAGCAAGCTTGTTCTAAAGAGTGCATCAAGCATTATTTTCCGTCATTTATTCAAATAAACAAATATTAGGCGAAAGCGCTCTGGTGACTAATAACGGGTGCATTCTGGCTGTGGTGTTGGCATATTACATCTATATTTAACAATGATACTGTGCTTTTTACACCTTAAAGATGCCGGTAAAAGACCTTAAGGGCTGAAGGCACAACAAACAAATATTTTCCTAATGTACATAAATGTCCAAGATTAGGAAAGAAAATTGGACCAACGGTGCTGAAAATTCCAAATATTTCAAATAGTTGTGCAGTCTTTTTTGTTTTAGTTTTATGTAATTTATCTGGATTGTTAAAGACAGAACAGATTTACATGCACACCCAAGACAAACCAAACAATGGTTCAAATGAGAGTTTTGCAAAAAATCAATATAGTAATATAGTTTTTATTTTTCATGAATTTGAGTTGCAATTACAATCAGCAAAGCATTATATATTTAGTACTCGTCATCAAGTAACAACAATATGAACAAAGGCATCTTCAGAAAAGTAAGTATGTTCATTAGACTTTTATTTTATTTATTTTTACTAGTATTACTTGTTGTCTATTACCTGCGTGACACTGTCTACCAACCGCCAAGTCAAATTCCTTGTATGTATGCCAATCACAGGACTGATACATACAACCATTCACACTCACACATCTACAGGCAATTTGGAGTCCCCAATCAACCTGATCCCCAGAGCATGTCTTTGGACTGTGGCAGAAAGCCGGAGAACCCACGCAGACACGTGGAGAACATGCAGACTCCACGCAGAAAGGCCACTGGGCGGAGTGGAACCCAGGACCTTCTTGCTGTGAGGCAACAGTGCTAACCACCACGCCACCGTGCCGCCCTAATATGTTCATGTTGGTGATTTTACGTGTTGTCTTTTGTTGTGCCAACACGACCAACAATTAACATCTCTGGTTCCCTCCTCAAAAAGCCAATGGGTTTTTTTTCTATTCTTACAAAAAAATGCTCTAGTGGGTTATCGACACAAAAGTTTACGTTACCCACAGAAATGATTTCAGGTAATCCAAAACCCATTGACTGTGGCGAGGGAACCAAAAAACCCCAAATGCAGACGTATTTCTGGGATTTAAGACTCATTTCCACAGCCCTCTTTACACACGTAGCTATTTCCTTATGATCAAAGTCAAAATTAGAGAAGGAGTACGTATAGAAAAGAAATCTTTGCATGCAAAATGTGAATTTAATCAATCAAATTTGACTAGAAATATTGAGATTCTTAAGCTGCCCATCAGATCATTAAACCCAACACAACGTGGTTTTTAAACCACTTGAGTGGAGTGAAAAAAACTGTTAATACAACGTAGACACATAAATACCATAACGTTGCTAGGAATATTATGTCAGAAACACTGTGTATTGTTTACACTTCCAGCAGATTGGAGCAGCTTCAGCATTAAGTTGCGTGCTGTTCCATCTGCTGAGAGTCCAAGTCTCTTTTGCGTCTGGTTTGGTCTCCACCAACTCCTGAGAACAATATCTGTCTCTTTCACAGCTAAATGCTCCACTGTGTTCCCCACCAAGTCTCCAGCTGTGTCTGTTCTGTCACCACCAAAACCTCTTTCGCATCACACATTGCCATTTCATCCATTGATAATATAAAAAATATTGATTAGAGCAACTTTAAATTTGTGTTGCATTTGTTATGCTGAAAAACGGTATCCTGCCAGTCCTGTGTCCACTTGGTCTCCTCACTGTTGGACAGGGGGGGGCGCATGCACAGTGATCACCGGCTGAGAGGGACAGAAAACAAGAAATGAACCCATGTACGGTAAATGTACTGTCAAAACAAACATAAACATTGTGCTGGCACTGGATGCTTCTTTTTCTTGTGTGGCTGGTACATATTTTGGCATGAACAGTAAACCCTGTTATCCAAAAGAGTGCCATGATAGAACTAGATATGTACATTTGTGACACAACAATAACATCTTTGCGGCTGTGTTGCTACAACACAGCCGCAAAGATGTCGGCCTTTACTCAACCTTTACTCACCATTTTGGGAGCTGGTGAGCAGCAATTGACCACCTTGCAGCAGTAGGCGGCCAGAGTGGCAGAGATGGCGAACAAAGCAACCTCAAGGACTATAATCTCAGCAGAGAAATGGGAAGTGGCGCCCTGCCATAGAGATGAGATTTGCAGCATTATACGGTTAAGTGGCAGATAAACTTGGACAGAAATGATACATTCCATCTTCTACTCTTTAATTGCTTTTATCTTGTGATCTTCAAATCACACTTGAACTGCTACATCTCTCTGGATATTAAATAAGGGTGCAACTGATTTCACATGATATCAACTGATATCAACTTTCAAATGCATTACATTTGAAAGTGTTGTATTTGTGTAGCTTTGGTCACAGTTTAGAATAGTTAAAACAGCATTTTCAGAACTCTAAAGCCACATATTTATAAACAATGCATTGAACACGACATTGCAAACCTAATTACAACAAATCAGTGTAGTTTTTGTGCTAAACTTATTTTTAATATAATTAATTATAACAATGTAATCCAACAATGAAACATGAAAAAATTGTTAAAACAAGCAAACGGTTACAGCTCACCTCAATTTTCTTGCAGGTTTCTTCAACCGTAGAGAAGTCAGAGTCATAGAGAAAGTACCAGCAGAAACTGCTTCCAAAATCCATTTTTAAAAAACAACAGATCAAGTTGAAGACGGACGCGCCACAAGCCACAATCTGCCATCCTAAACAGGCTCTCAGCTGAAAAACAGGAGACATGAGGCATGTTTTACATTTCATCTCCTATTTATTCTAGAAGGGATTTAAAGATTGGATGTCACCCACACCACACCACGCCTCCTCTCCCTTCACTGGTTACTAGCAGCTGCCCGCATTCTGTTTCAAACATTGGTACTTGTGTGCTGAGCGGCCCACAGATCAGGTCCAGTATACATCCAGAATATGGTCAAATGCACGCTCACTCCGCTCTACGTCTGCCAATCGGCCTGCTTGCAAATATTTGATGTCCCGGCTCCTGAATGGTGAAAAGAACTCCCCAATAACATCAGGACAGCAGAAAGTCTATTCATCTCCGATGCAATCTGAAGACACACTGATTATACCTTGATTAGGTAGCACTTAAAATGGCACTTACTCAAAAGCAGTTTTGGGTGTGTTGCCTCTTGATTGAATACACTTATTGTAAGTCGCCTTAGACTCTAAAGTTTAGAGGAAAGCATCTGCTAAATAACAATATAGTGTAATGTCTGCTGGGGTCAGCGAACTAGTGTAACAACCAGCTCAATCCATCCTTACCCAGTGACTCATTGGATTTCTCCAAGAGGAAGTGACTGAAGGGGCTTTTTTTGTGGCTGGGAAAGTTGTGAAATAAGTCTTCATTTCTCACAACCAGACATTTTAATAAACCGTTTTCACTCTGACCTTGTCCAAAACAGCAGCTAGGTCAGCGTCCTATAGGCGTCTGAAACCAAAGCATTGAGGCCCTCCTTAGTCGCTGTATGAGACACATCAGGCTTTCAACTAGCTGTATAACCATTCGCGGCATCATTTGATTCTCAGTTGCAATATGAACAGCAAGGAAGCCCGGGATGTTCACCCAGGAGACACAGATGATGTCCAATGGGAAACCAAGATGACTCACTTTACAGCAGTTTGTTAAATAACGTTAGCACTTGACAAATTACATTACATAACAAACCAACAAGTTTCACATTACAATCCTACTTATTTTAACCCAAACCATAATCCTTTCCTAACCCTAACCAAGGAAATACGTAAATACGGTACTTGAATATCTCTTTTTGAGTCTTCTGATCACTCAAAGCTCTTCAACACTACATGGCGTTCTTCACCCATTCACAGACTGATGGGAGGAGCTACCATACACAGTGGCTCTTGTCTATCAGCCACTGTCACATCAGACATTCATAGCATTCACACACCGTAGTCACAGCTACAAGAGCAATGGACACCAAGGGAGCCGGGGATTGAACCGCAGATGACCCAATGATGCATAGTCAATAGGAGTTTTTTTGCTAAAGTAAACATAAAAACAAAATAAACCTACATGGAAAGTTTATATTAAAAAGACACTATGCATGTAAAGAGTGAAAATTGACCCGCAGTTCCTTGTTCTTTCCATAAGGATGTTACATTAGCACCTATGCATCAATGTTTGAGGCTTAATCCGGGTTTCAGTAGTGCTTTTCATACTGAACATTTCTTAAATGGGCTTGCCGATGTTGGAGTCTCCTGTCCAGCGAGGTAACTCACCGTCGGCAGATGGAGATTCTGTGCTGCTACGGCCAAACTCCCAGCTATTATCAGCTGTGAAGATCACACAAAGCAAACGTTTCAGCATCTAGCAAGAGTTCTAAAAGCTGTCAGCTCAGATGAAAAGGAAGGCATGACTGCGAACTTAGTCTAATGAATTCAATTTATATATATATACATATTTATATATACACATTCCCCTTCCCACTCTTAGTATATCAAGTGCTGTTAGTACTTTTACTTAAGTGAATAATCGTAATACTTTATTCACCACTGTTCAGAAGTTTGCCCATTGAAATAATGATGAAAATATTTCTACAAAGTATCTCTCGAGTTTTAGTTATGATGACATATCTTTGAAAAGACAGAAGTGAGTCCTGCACCTTGTTTCTTCATCATCAGGGTTATCTGAACTTGAGCGTATTTACAAATGAAAGCCTGCAGGGGATTTTGGAAGATGTGTGCTTTCTCCATTCAGTTCTTAAAAAACTGTGCCCCAGGTTTCATTACGAAATGTGTATGAAGTTAAAAAAAATGTTGATCCACATTAAAAGTGATCTTCTAATTCGATTATATTTTGAGTCTATAAAATAAGTCCCCAAACTTTCTGGAATTGCAAAACTAAATCATTGGACTATCCCTTTAAATACAACATTGCTATGAACTACTGTTGATCTGAGGAATAATGTCGGAGTTGACCACGTGTTTACCGTAAGAGATGAAATGAAGAAAGGAATGCCAATGGGCCCATGACTCAGGCCTTTGGACAGAAGCACGGCCACGCAGCTGTTCTGAAACACGCTCAGGCCAATCTGGGTGATCTGGGGGCAGCAGACAGGAGAGTTCACATTGAGCAGCCAGAGCTCACGGAACGTATAGTTTGAAAGAGACACGCAGACGGACACACGCGGTACCCCCAGAGCTTTGGGTTCAGCCTCCAGGTACTTCTCTTTCCTGTGGACGTTTCTCTGGAAGCTGACTGCGACCAAAGGGCTCTGAGCCGGGCCGATGCCTTCCTCCACAAATGCCGCATCATCTGCAACATCCAAGTCCGCACTTACTGTCAAGTCTTTATGCTGACATGAGACACGGGTCGTGCATTGCACAAGATTGTGCGGCGGAAATCAGCTTCGGAATGTTAAGCAGAAATCAACATCTGGACATCGTCTAGCAACTACATCTGCTTATTTCATCGCTTCCAACCATCGAACTTCAATTGAATGTATTTTAAAAAGCATGTTTTTACCTGCCATGGTCACGATATCTGCCATTACTTTACTTCCCCTTTTTAAAAGTTGTTAAGCGGTCCAAAGCTGCTGATCGAAGGTTTTGCAGTAACTGTGGATTCGGGTCTTTGAGTCCCGCCCATGGATACAGCCCCACAGGTCCCGCCCTCCCGATGTACACAACGGGATTGTGACAAACACAGCTGCAACACAACTGCATGAAAGCCCTGCGAGCAAATTAGAGACATACAACAGTTTTTATGATCCATTTCAATATATATATAATATAATAATATGCGGGTATATATTATACACCCGCATTTTATTTAACCGATCAGAACGCTGGATTTCTGATTGGTTGAGAGTGAATAATGGGTGTGCATTATTTAAGCAATAAGGTACGAGAGGCTGTACACACACGAGCGTTCCGTATCACTGCGCACTCAAAGCAGCAGGTTAGATTTTGCGCCACCGTTAGTTGACATTTCAGCTTTTAGTTCGGTGGCGATTGCCGAAAAAAGACCGGAAATCCCACAAATGGTCGGTTTCGGGCAATGTGAGCTTTCGCAACCGTACAATTAAGGTGGACGTCACGAGCGATGTGAATGAGAGAATGTTTGGTGGCTAATACTATTTTGTCTTTGCCCAACGTGAGCAGGGGTTGGCTACATCACACACACACACACACACACACACACACACACACACACACACACACACACACACACACACACACGGACACACACATATCAGTCTTTATTGGCATCAGAAGTCAACAACTAGTAAAAGTGCTCACACACTGCCAATAACTAGTGAAGTCCCTCGTCTCTGACCACTAGCTTCACCTGGTGGACAAAGCTGTTGCCAATTACCTAGTGCTATCTACCATACACATAGATTAGGTTTGGTACGCTCAGGTTTTCAGATATCTGCCTTTTCGATTTCTACTTCCATTCCAAAACTTGAAAGACTCACCAGCAGCTAGTTTCTATTGAGACACAATGTCCTGTTTACACCGTGTAACAAACCGTCCTGCCAACAATGCTCAAAGGAGCCAGTTCCCTTTTCCATTCAAGGCAAAATGCTGACAGATACTGTTGATTGCGCAGGGTAACCGGGGAATGCATTCTGCAAATGACAACCACTACTCCATTTTCAATACTTTGAGAAACAGCCATGCAATTACATTCAACCATTGTATTCAAGTTGTTGCAGAAGATTTAGAAGTGAATGAAAAATGGCCTAAAAACAACTGAAACTATAAGCCTGGATGAATACCACTACAGGCATGGAGAAAATAGATCTCTTTATAATGTGGGTGAACTGACCCTTTAATATAATGTTAAGAGTTGGGTATGCAAAAATAAACATTTGTTTATTTCACTACTTGTACTACAACTGCAAGTCTATAATTTACAATAGGCGCCTGAATGCAGCTTCATATTTGAGATTCAAAGTTCATTTTAGACCTGGTAAAGCAGTTAAGAAAACATTATCCTCACAAGGATTATTAGAAGCGGTTCCAGAACTTCTGATCATATCACACGATCGTCATCAGTGGATGGGGGTCTGAGCAGTTTAAGGTTGGCTTTTTGGCCAACGTAGGTCAGAAGATGGGCTGATGAAGGACATTTTTCAATTTCAATAAATTTCCTTTTATTTGTATTGCAAAATATCACATATTTGCCTCATCTGGGCAACATATTGATCATGTGCAGTTCTCAGAAGCTCTAGAGCAGCGACAAAATGGACATCGGGTTGTCAGCAGAGCATTTATTCATTTATTTTATGTCCACCTAAATGCATGGTTAAAGTAAATACATACATTTTCTTTCTTTTCGAGAGTTTGACAAAAAGTTCTACACAACCCCGATACCTATCAATTAAAGAAGCTGGAATAGCAATCAGTGCAATTATTGTTGACTAGATTTTAATAATCCCTCACTAACATCCCAATCATTTTCCCTTTATGATAATTAATACAGATACATTCAGTAACAACTTACATTACGGATATGCTTCCCTTCTTTCCAAAAAAGTAAATCCCGTGAACGCAGAGGAACCTATATTTGATTCTTTAAAAACAAAGGAATAACTAAACATTTCCACAGAATCATGAAACAATAAAGAAAATCTAAAATACACTTTATTGTGTACTTCCTTAGACAATTGGAATATAATTAAGAAATAACTTCCATAAAATCTCTTTTATGCTCACTTGTATAATGTAGGATGGACGGATAAAAGTCTTGTGTCAGAAATTGAATATAAATTGGCATCATTGTCACAATACTGAACACCAATACAAAATAACCTGCATGGATTGTAAACTGAGACCGTTTGGTCAGTTTGTTATTTGGGTATTTAGGAAGATGTCAGTACGTAAAAAATGTCATTATTTGTATCGTTTTCAGTGTCTCAATATACAAATGCCATTTCAGGAATCTGTCCAGCCGGACGAGAATTCATCTGTAAATCTGTAATTCACTCGCTTCAAATGGCCCACATATCAAGACTATTTGCATATCAAACCTCATATTTATGGAGCATGCCACTGGACTGTTCTCTCTCTAATTACTTTTAAAATAATAATTAATTAATAATTAATCGAATTAATTAGTTATTGATTTTTTTTCTTTTTTAATTGATTGCTGAAAATTCTGCTTACACATTTCATAACTTAATTTGTTTCCTGCGATCAAACGACAGACAGACAAATATGATAATGGAATGAAGAAAAGTCAAATTCTAATTTATTTTGTGACTCAATTTTAAAATCAAATTATTAATTAAGTGATTATAAAAATATAAAAGAGCGAATAACTGGCCAGTTTCATGAGCTTTTCATTTTGTTTTACATTGAATGTATAAATTGAATAATAGCGTAGTTATAATCCGCACTTTCAAAGACTAAAATTATTCCAATGACACACTCCAGTTGGGAACTCGGTGGGAACACAGTTTTTGCACTGTTAATAAGAGCAAATCTGGTAACCTAAGGCGTAGATGAACAGAAAACTGGCACATCGTAATCGTGAATTTTGGGTTTAACCCCTGAGAAGGAACCCAGCCTCGGAAACTTTGGTTTATAATAGGATTGATCTGTAAATTGTTCTCCCGGGCCTGCCTCACAAGGACTGGGAGCCATTGGCCCTCTTCCTGCGGCCCAGCAGGTATGCAACCACCACGATGATAATGAGCACCAGCAACGTCACTCCAACCCCAATGGCAACGCGGTAGTCAGGCCCGGTCTGCAGCACAGGGTTCAGCTGGAACACACACACACACACACACACACACACACACACACACACACACACACACACGCACGCACACGCACGCGCACACGCACACGCACACGCACACGCCAAATAGAAAATTCACTTATTATTTGTTATATGGCAATTAGAGGTGCACAGGTTAAATCAATGAAGTCATCAATTATTAGCTCCATTTGAAAAGTGCAGATTTGGCCAGCAGTTTTTTTACTCCAGTCTATGACTGGAAATAATAAAAAATACAATTGCAGTGTCCAAATGTGTCTGACTAGAGTCTGACAGAGTCTAAATAAATAACGTTCAGTAACAGTGGTGTCGTACCGTATAGAATCGTATCTTGTGTTCTGTAGCATAGAGAAACTTGTGACATAGAACGTGTATCGTTGAGTATATCTTTCATTTCTTAACTCTTCAGACCAAAGCCTGGTGCTGGTGCAGTTGGACTCGTCCTGCAGGTGGTAGCTGATACATACCACTGTGCGTGTCAGTACTCCGACAAGCAGTCTGACACAACTTACACTCTACTATGATTACAGATAAGTGGAAGTGTCTAAATACCTCTACAAAGGTATATTTTATGGTACCTATACTTTGGTTATGTATTTCTCAACTCTATCCAGCCTATTGTCTTTTCTAAAATATCGTACTTTTATCTTAACTGGCTTGGCCTTGAACTGTATTCAGTTCAGAATTTGCTTTTATATAGAAAACGTATGAGAAGACCTTTTACAGCTACTTTATGAAAACGAACCATTATGTGTAAAGACAGTTTGAATACAATTCTGTATTACACACTTACCAGTGCCAAACTCGCTGTTCTTGGGCAGGTTGAAGGCCTGCATCCGGTCTTGATCTACGTCAAGGTACAGTCCATTCCCCATGAAGAGTGATTCCTTCTTGCAGGAGTAGGAGTTTCCGAGCTTCGCAGCGAAGAGATGCATGGATTTGTTGTTGGCCGTGTACAGGGTTTGGCCTGCAAAAACTGAACAAAGCAACATTCAGGTGCTATCAGGTTTTCAGATATGGAAACAAACCTGCTACACTGCATTGTATTGAAAGCAGGTTGGCTGTTCCTGGCCTCACATGCTAACCAGTAATTCCACAGATGATTTCTATTTAACTCAACAGACACAGAAACAAGAAAGTTTGTTTTTTCATTGCTTTGTATCTTTGTTAATATGTGGAGCAGAACACCCACCTTCAATACTCACAGATGTTAAATCAATATAATGGCTGCAGTTATATCTAGAGATCAGAATAAAATGTGAGTATTTCCAAACTTACGTCCTTTGGCCAAGGGGTAGGAGAGGTTGAAAGACACAGCATCAACGTAGACGGTATTATCAGCGCTCTAAGGAATGAAAAAAGAGTCACTTTTACTGAGAGGTGACAGTGGCTGTGCGGAGAGCAGGGTCGTCCTCCAATCCCAGTATCGGGGGTTCGACCCCCCGACTCTACTAGTTTCCATGTGTCCTTCGGCAAGACACTTAACCCCACAATGGTTGAGTAGCTGTGACTACGGAGTGTGTGAATGTTAGTTACTGATGGACAGGTGTCACTGTGTGTGGTAGCTCCTCACATCAGTGTATGAGTGGATGATTGATGGCTTGTGTGTTAAAGCGCTTTGAGTGGTAAGGAGACTAGAAAAGAGATACAAATACAGTACATTTACTTTATAAGTTGTTATCCAATGGAAGTGGTTGTGAAAGGTGCGACATGGATTAAATGTGAGATATTGGTTTGATTTCTATGAACAATCAAGATGATTAATTGAGAATACTGGAAAAAAAAAAATAGAGAAAGTTTTACTGCACAGTCAAGAATGAATGGAGATAGTTTAAATAGTGATAGCTTTCTGTGGGCAGGACAATGGAAAGTAAACAGTGCCAGCTAGCGCCAAATTTATTCAAGTAGATAAATTTAAAACCTTCATTCCTCTCTTTGTCTTTTGTAATTCTTTTGTTTTTACATGTCGTGTTATTCATAGCAGTTACTTACATACTACTTTTAAAAGCTATATCAGTGGAGTATTTTTAGTTAAATTAAATTTAGTTTTGTTCTATGCCTCAAGTTAACATCTATGTTCGTCCAAAACATAAGGTATAATTGCATTAATATTTGATATGATAAAGAATAACTACTAGGTAACATTACTTGCGTATCGGGTTAAGGAAGTAACATTTTTAATAAACAATTCATTTACACTTTTTTTTTTAATCTGTTTGAGTTAAATAATTTGATGTTTTAGTGTTTAATAAGCACCATTAGCATGTTATGTTTAAGCCAAACCAATGCTAAGGATGAGATTTAACCTCTAGTTCTCTGAATGCTAATGAACAAAAATACTCTTTCATTAGTTGCAATTGTTAAGAGTTGTTAAAACTATATTGTTTCATAAAAGGTTTTGAAAGGGTTCAAACTCAACAGGCACATCAGAGCTGATAAGTCGATTAGTTAAATGATAGAAAATGTATCAGCAAATATTTTGATAACATATTCACTGCTTTAATCTTCTTACAAGCAAAAGCAGGTATTCACTAGTTTCTGATCTTCTCCCATTATAGTTTAGCAAACTGTATATCTGTGTTTGGATTGTTGTTTGGACAAAACAAGATGTTGAAAGATACCACCTCGAACTCTGGTGGTTTTTTTAACAATTCACACAAGCGCTGTGGAGTGAGACACTCCGTGTCACATGCTCCCAGAACAGGCTTGTCAACTGAACTTCCCTTTTCTAACCACTTTTGTCTGATTCCAGTTTCTATGAAATGAGCAGTCAAACAATGTGTTAGTTATCAATACACGTGTCACAGTATATAATTGCTAAATATTTTCGGTAAAATGCTAAATCTGTGTTAGCAGGTGAAAGATAAGGTACTGACCTGGTGATCTCCCCTATCGGCAGCTCTCAGCATTATACTTCAATACTTGAGACAAAACTAGGACATTGAAAGTACCTTGTTGAACATGAAGTTGATGGAGCCCTCTTTGAAGATTAGGGTAAGGTTGGCCCTGTTGTCCTGACAACCTCCTTCTGCTGTTGTCATGTTCGGCTGAACAATGAAGCTTCCATTGGCCTGACAGATAAGGAGAGCAAAAGATTTGACAATTGGCTGGGCACGTTGTATCAGAATATTCCAGAACGTACTGGCAATATTAACTTGTCATGGTGTACAATTAGA